CTCCCCAAAACCCCAAAACCCCAAAACCCCAGCAGGCTATTAATTATCTGAATATATATAAAATTAAATTATGGAAGGCAAAAAGAAGTATTTCCCCAAGGATGAGTCCAGGAAGATCAAGTTTGACCCAAAACTTCGCAAACAATCACAGGCAAGATCTGTAAGATCTTTAGCAATCTTTTCTTAGCCTTATTGGCCTATTTTGGGAAATTTTGATATAGCGCTATTATCATGCACGTAAAGAGAGTTTCCAGACAACAATGGGTAAGCTCAGTTATAACATTTTGGGTCAAATTTGGATGTACAGAGATCTGATGTTAAATTTTTCAAATTTTAGGACCATACGCATCTTTGAAGAAATAGCATAAAAACTATAAATTTGAAAAAGTAAGTCCATGGTGCCAATTTAGGGATGACTCTCGCCTGAGACTAAGTGTTGGAGCGAACCGCACCCTGAAACCAAGTAAGATTTCCTCTGCATCATTCTTAGTCAAGAATATGGGGTATAAGAAAGGTAAAATCTCACGTGACGGAGACCGACAGATAATGGGTGGCCAAAAGCTCAGCATTTTGATAGAAATGGATAACTATAAAAACAGCAGGAGAAATCCAACTAGATCCTCTAACAGTAAGACTTTTGATGATCCTTTAGAAGACCTTGTTCAGGTCAGCCCTGACCTTTCCATCCAACCTCCTGGAAGAGACATTACTAAAAGCTGAGTGGATAATCCTGATAATGGCCAAGTCTCAGATGCTCACCTAAAAACCCATATTAACACTCTTAAGAAGTTGGTTAAAGAGCGAGATGATGAACTTTTTGACCTAAAAATGGCCCTTGATATCATCAGTAGCAAGAAAACCAAAGAGCAGGCTCAAAAGAAAGAAGATACGAAGAAATCATTTGATAAGACTAGAACAAGTCTCAACGCAAAAAGACCCCTAGTGCTATCAAGAGTAGCGTGCTTGGTTTATACTTTAGGGAAAGAAACTCGATGGTAGCAAGAAGAACAAACTGATTATAAGAAACACCCCACAATTAGGCAAAGGTAAGATATAAATTTAGTGAAGGAATCTAGGTCAGAGGGGAATCTCAAAATCTATTGCAGCATCACCTCAGCGAACGAAGAAAACACATTTGAAGAATAGCATTGTAATAGAGTCAAACAGTTCATTGAAGAGCACTACACCGGCAAATAAGCCCCGGAAGATAATGAGGGAAAGTAGTGAGGAAAATCTTTCTAGAAAAGGATTACCTCCAACTTCGAAAATATTTGAGAGTCAATCAATTTCTCACCAAACAGAAGTAAAAACTATCCAAGATGTTGCCGAAAGTAAAGAAATTCAAAAATTATCAGAAAAGATCACAGAGCTTGAGCAGGAGCTAGCGAAGTACAAAGAAGTAGGGAAGCCAGCTCCTCTTCCTTCTAATTCTTCGCTTCTGAAAAATCGATCCTCTCCTTCAAAGGAGCCTTTCTCTCCTGCTAAAGATGCTGACAATGAGGATTCTCTTATGAGAGAAGCTGATGAAGCTTCTCCACCTAAGAAGTCTTTTATTGGGGTGAAACCCACAATTATTCCTAAGCTGAACTACCAAAAGCTTATCACTAGCTGTATGATTCTTTGTAGTCTTAACTTATAGATGTCTCCAAGTCTCCAGTATCCACCGAAAGAAATGTATGTTTAAGGTTCCTATTAGGAATATGTATTGCTCTAATTTAGTGAAATCGCAAGCGTTGACCCAGTCATGAGTTAGCATAGTCCCAAGAGCAGGCTATATATCCCTTCCGGGAGCCAATATTAGCTCTTCCTTTTAGGCATCCTTTATTTAGCTAATTTCTCAGTAGCGATTCACATTTAGAACAACTCTTAATTTTGAAGTTATTGGGCTAACTTAGCTTTTATAGTTGTTCGCAAAGCTTCCGACATATGTAAATCCCTCACATTCCTTTGGATATGAGGATTTCCCCAGCGAGCAAGATATTGTTAAGATAGAAGAGATCGAACACCTTCGACCAAAGGTGAGACTCGCTGTTATGGTTTATGAGGAGAATTTTAAATAACTTGATCTTTGCACCCAGCCCTCTTCTACAAGCTGTAAAGAGCAATTCGAATGAAATCACAATGAAGAGGTTCATTGCAAAAGCCGAAGAGCTAATGGGGCTGTCTCCTAAAGAAGCTGTGAAGGTAGGGAGGTACCTCTTTGAACGAAGGAATAAGGCCAAAGTTCTGTTTGATGAAGATGTCGCCAGACGTACAAAGTAAGCCGATATCCTTTATTAATCTCACAATTTAGGCTAATTTTAAAGCGTCTTAAGGAATTTGCAGGCAAGTATACAAAAATTGAGACCAAGGATTTCTCAACCTTGAAGGAAGAATTCTTTCTTAATCATGATCAAGGCCTCAAAGAGCAGTTCTTAAGCGGTCTTGATGGCCTTGCGAAATGAGAGCATGTCTCACCTTTTGATGTCTTCCAGCTCGTTCTTGGCTCAGGACTGGCTCTGAGCGCAACAAATGTTGTAGTTTACCTCTGAAGAATGTCTAATTCTATGGTAAAAATCAATGGAAATGCGATTAAAATTCTAGCAAGGAAGTGATTCTCGAAGAACTCCAGCCATAGAAAAGCCAGTATCGCTCCAAATGAGTCTCTTCGGCTCTCAAAAATTTACTCAGAAGGAACCCCCAGGAGTAAGAAAAGTGAATATGCTGAATTAGAGAAGGATACTAAGCAGAAGATTGGTGATAAATTTTTCAAAGAGCTCTCTGATTACATCAAGAAGAATGACACTTCCATTTTGGATATTGTAAAACCTAAGATTTTCGATAAGGTTCTGAATGCGAAGGAATATCAGCTGATCAAATATAAGCACCTGTACAAGATCTTTAAGCAGATTGGACTGGAGATTACAGGTAGCATCAAGCAAGCGATCAAGCATATTGCTACACCATTCATGGAAAACACAGTTGAGGTATATACCTTAGTCTCTGTCCTAGCAAACTATGGGTGCTATGAGCTATTCCCTAAGTCTAATAAGCATATTAACTACCGAAGTAAGCTCCTTTGGTAACCTCTAGGAATGGATGGAGCCACAATCCGGATATTCAACAGAATTATAGCCATCATGGACCGAGAGAAGCACGAGAGTAAGACCCAGTGATAACTTCATAGCGATCGAGGACTTTTTAGGCGAGAGTAATATCACCTACATCGAAGTGGTTTCTCCTTCAAGAACAGAGAAAATTGGTGTAGTGAACCACCTGAAATTCAGAGGTATTCTTCGAGACAAGGCTGTGATCCCATACGGGGAGGACCTTGATGAAGAGCTTCAGGTATTACTCTGACTCAACTCAAACCGTGAAGACCTACTAATGCTTCGGAAGATGAAGAAGATCCTAAAGGATATCAAAGAGACACTGTTCTTTAACAATTTCGGGATGTATTTCCGCCAAGAATCACAGGTGGATTCTGACTTTGAGAACCAGCAAGAGAAGCCTAATAAGACGATTGATAAATTACTGAACGAGAGTCGGATCTCCAAGGATCTCCATGAGAATAATAAGAGTACTTCTTAAGCATAATCTCTAGGTAGCAGTGATAGTTTCGACGCAGGGCTTCTTCTGTCACTGGAGAAAGACTCTAAGAAGGCAGCTGAGAAGGATGGAGACAGGAAGGATAATGAAACAGAGTTATCCAACCTTCAGAGATCAATCACCAAATATCTGGAAAGCAGAAAGATAGTACAGTAAGGGATGAGAGAGTAATCGTGTAGGAGTAAGACCAGCAAGAAGAATGACTCTAATTTCTTGAGTATTTTATAAATTGATATTAAGAAAAAACTTAATTTAGAGCAAGAGTTGGAATAGAAGGATCTCAATGTTGCTTCACCTTGATCTAGGGGAGGAAAATGGCTTGTTTGATGGTATAAAAGGTGATAGCTTGCTTTTGATTTTGAGAGTGAAAGTATATATTTTTAAGCAAAAGTATTAATTTTTAGGTATTTTCTTAATATCTTGGTTTATAGATTGGTTATTCTAAAAATTAAGGTCTTTTCTATTACTCGGACTTAAGTTATGATTCTCAAATAATTGACCCCTCAAACCCCTCCCTTGTTCCCATTTCCTACACTCCTAGAGTTTTACCCCTACTTTTTCCAATCCTTTTACCTGCCTTATTTTCCCATTTAGCCTGACCATAACCTCCAAATTTTAGCTTAAAATTTCAGAGTAGGTAAAATCCTTCTTCAAAATTTCAACTGAGTCTCTTGCAGCTGGGGTTTTGGGGTTTTGGGGTTTTGGGGTTTTGGGG